TCTATTCAGTATCTATTCTATACCTATCTGTTTATTCAGTATCTATCTATCTATCTATCTATGCCTCTGTCTATCAAATGTTTCTTAACTCTGTACATTCTAATATACGTGTTTGTATTCTATTTACAAAGATTTATTCGTTGTTATCGACATTCCAGATATTGCAATATCTACATCTTTCCATTTCTTTTCGTTTTTTTTTTTTTTTTTCATTTTTTCTATTCTAAAAAAACATGTTTTCTGTAATTCTTTTAAAAAGTTATATAAAACCAATTGTTTCTTTGGTGACCTTCAGTTCGCAACTTTTAACTGCAATGTAAAAGATTTTGACATATAATAAATGAAAAAGCAAAAACAAGGCATGTTAATGCAGAAACAAATATTTCAAATCAAATAAAACCAGCTTCAACAGCCAAGTTAAATCAGAAAAGGTGAAGAAACAAATGTAAATTCATGTAACGTACACATCATCGTGATTGCCAAAGTCCAAGTCGAATATGTCGGCAGTAAAATTCTCCCTTCTGCCTTACAAATTCTCAATGTATTCAAATATAATTCCCTGTCAAATAAGCACTGGAATGTTTACGAACAAGCCAAGGAGAGAATCACCTCGCAAAGGTACGAAATCAGTTCTATTTCTTCTCAAAGAATAAGAAGTCATGAATAAATTGAGGTCTTTAGATTTTCAGTCGTTTAGTCTGCCACACGGAATCAATCCGGTCATAGGAGTTATTCCTATGACAATCTCAACTCATTTTCTCTCATCTGCTATTGTTTTTGCTTCTTTTTCGGAGATAAATATTTAATGTTCATCTTCCTTTTCCCGTAGTTGTGGTGTGTTTAAAATTGACTTGTGAGATCACGGCCCAGAGGGGGTGCCACTCAGACAGAAATTTTAATGCAACGAATTGAGGTCACCCGACATGAACAATGCCGAATCACAAGAAAAGCGTTTGGTTACTCACGTCTTTTTTTTTTCTTCTCCGCTTTTTTTTTTATTTTCGTTGAATTTGGTTATTGCTGCTGTTGAAGAAGTCTTCGTAAATACAAAAAAAAATATTTGCTTCTAAGTCAAAATGCGATTTTCGTTTACTTTTTGAAAGGTTTTACATTTATTTTATGCTCAAATCTTTTACTTCGCAGTTAAGTCTTGGAAATCAAAATTCTCTCAAGATACATTGGCTTCATGTTTAACTTCTAAATAATATTGCAGAGAGTATGTTTCTTAAAACATATGAAAAAGGCATTTATTCCAGAATTAACATGCTAAAAGTAAATGGGATAGATAGATAGATGTGAACAGACTGAGATAGATAGATAGATAGATAGATAGATAGATAGATAGATAGATAGATAGATAGATAGATAGATGTGAACAGAGATAGATAGATAGATAGATAGATAGATAGATAGATAGATAGATGTGAACAGATATAGATAGATAGATAGATAGATAGATAGATAGATAGATAGATAGATAGATAGATGTGAACAGATAGATAGATAGATAGATAGATAGATAGATAGAAACTATGAAACAATCAGTGTTGTGTATAGAAATAAAGAAAGAAAGTAAAGACATAAAGAAAGAAAAGTATATATTTTAATCACGCTGCGATAGATAGATAGATAGATAGATAGGTAGATAGATAGATAGATAGATGTGAACTGACTGAGATAGATAGATAGATAGATAGATAGATAGATAGATAGATAGATAGATAGATAGATATGTGAACAGACTGAGATAGATAGATGTGAACTGACTGAGATAGATAGATAGATAGATAGATAGATGTGAACAGAGATAGATAGATAGAAAGTATGAAACAATCAGTGTTGTGTATAGAAACAATGAAAAAAGTAAAGACATAAAGAAAAGTATATATTTTAATCACGCTGCGATAGATAGATAGATAGATAGGTAGATAGATAGATAGATGTGAACTGACTGAGATAGATAGATAGATAGATAGATAGATAGATAGATAGATATGTGAACAGACTGAGATAGATAGATGTGAACTGACTGAGATAGATAGATAGATAGATAGATAGATAGATAGATAGATAGATAGATAGATAGATGTGAACAGAGATAGATAGATAGAAAGTATGAAACAGTGTTGTGTATAGAAACAATGAAAAAAGTAAAGACATAAAGAAAAGTATATATTTTAATCACGCTGCGATAGATAGATAGATAGATAGATAGATAGATAGATAGATAGACAGATAGATAGATCCATCCGTTTTGTTTACCACTTAATATATTTTGTTTCCCTTTTCCGATTGTACACTCTCTGTTTCTTCCTAAAGAATTAAAAGTCAACTGACGAATTGTTCCGCGTCCTATTAACCCTTCTCTTTCCGCTTCTATGCAGTCAGTCCATCGTCTCCATCTTTTGACTTGTTCGACATCAAATGCTGAAATACTCTTGCAATTTGTCACCCTCAAACCTTTCTTTTTCCATTCATCTGACTTCGCTTTTCCAGCCATTAGGCATCTAATCACCAGTAAATGGAACTTTTTGCACTTTCATACCAGTCAGCTTTCTTTCAGACGAAACTAAGTCATAAAGCAAGTAACAGAACTGTTCAACCATCGAGATTGCCACCGGCTGAACTACACATTGTGACTATTTTTAGCCTTTAATTAAGATTCCAATGCATACAATCTAATGCATATATATATATATATATATATATATATATATATATATATATATATATATATATATATACAGTTCAACACACGCGCATGTTTACATCGATAAAAAAGAAAGTAAAGATCCAGGTGGATTGTGATATAGATCGATGTACATATTAGGTATTTTACAAGTATTGGATGAAATAACGTCAAGGAAGACGTGTTGTAACAATATAACATCCAAGAAAATCCATTGAATTCGAATTTAGAGAAATGCCTATGGCGGGATATTTCAACCACTGGGGTTGTTTTCATGGCAGGACACTAGAAATATACTGAAATATATATCTGTCTATATTTCTGAGATGAGGTATTATGTACACTTTTTACATTATTCGGACTATTGTCTTCATCTTTGTCGCCATATTTATTACAATATTTCGGCCGTTGTACGCTCCGGCCGCTTTCAGATGGTTGGATTTTCGAACTGAAGCCTTTATTTCGCTCACTGGTGTAGACTGTTCTAGTTCCACGTGCCATGTTTAATGGATGTCAGTTATCAATTATCTCCTGTTAATTCCCCTCTCCATGTTCTCCACTGTTTTAACTCGCATTCTTTGGGTACTGTCACTGGATCTAACCAACGCCTGTATCCACTATTCCATGTGTCCTTGAGGACATCTGTATATGAATTTCTGAGTATTATAAACCTAATGTCTTCTGACCATTTTTACCAGTGCTCATATTTCAATTTTGCTGTTATCAAACATATTTTTACCAGAGCTCATATTGCAATTTTTCGTTATTATCGCTTTTCCCTGGCACTCCTTTTTATTGGTTCCCATATTATATTCATTTCTATGCTTGGTCGGCTCAGGAGATTTTTGTGGCCTAGCATATGGCGACAAAGATAAGGACAATAGTTCGAATAATGTAAATAGTGTACTGAAATATATATATTTTTTATATAGAAATAGCAGAGTTACCAAGTGTTGCCCGGGATTTAAAATATTAGAAATAAGTCTATCAAAACGATATAACATCAAATAAATTCATTTATTCAAGCACAAAAATATCTTTAACAGTTTTTACACTACAATACTTCTCCGTAGAGAATATTCTTTGTCTTTCCTTGTGGAACATAAAAATAAATTGGTTTTACTTCCCACACGTGAACAACAAACATACAACTGCCCATGAGAGAAACAGGGTTCTTCTAACTGTAGTCCAGTAACTAATAGAATCTGGCCTTTTGCTTTGTTAATAGACATTACAAAACTTACTTGTATTGGAAACTGAAGTCTTCTAAACATGAATGGAATATCCGACCCTGATGGAATAAGGGGAATCCTGGGAATAAAAATATCTTCACCTATTCCACACCCGGTAAGAAGTGATGCCTCAATTAAATGTGCCATCAACTTCTTAACCACCACTCTGGTGACATTACAAACTCTTGGTGGGCCCAGATTCCGTAATAGCATAAAAAACACCCCCATCTTGAGTTCCAGTCTATGTGAAGGTACTCCAGGAGATTCTAGAGAATTCAGAAATTCCGTTGAATAATTGACCACCTCTTCCTGATTTGGAATGGTATCCACTGACCTGTAGATATAAGATGCTTCCAGGTGGAACTGAATCATTTGCTCATTTTTTGGAAAAAAAACTTAGCTTTAAGCAGTACTGGCAACATTGCAGATAGGGCTAATGGTCATCTTTCTATTGGCATTTAAAGGCATCAAATCTCAAAATTTTGCAGAAGTGAGCTGACAGCTGATCTCCAAATAATTGTACTCTCATGTTAGTGCTCAGAGTCAGCTTTCGGAGAAGATTTGAGACATGTTTTCACTTCATCAGCACTGGTCCCGTTTTCGTATGACAGGCAGTGTTTGCCTAAAGTTTTTGATAGCAGGAGTTCTATACCTCTCATAAGCGGCTGACAATCCCTAATGTCTCTCATGGTTTGCTCCACTGCTTCCAGAGTTGCCTCGTGTGCCATGTTACGTTTATTCCATACGATGAACCTGCACCTTTTTAGCACTTGGCCCAATTCAGAGTTTTTGCCGATACCGCAAATTGGATTATCAGATGAAGCTGAATGTACAGTTCGGCAATAGGAAGCAAGGTTGCAGCAATACCAGATGAGGAACTTCCAAAGCTATGTCCTTGTCGAACTTTGGCCAAAAGCAGCTTAGCAGCAAATGTCTTTCCTGTCCCTCCAGGAACATCTTTGAAGAAGCGGACACTGTAAACAACAGTGCCCTAAACTCTCGTTTGGACCAGAAGCAACCTTCGCTCATTTTCACATAGGGCATTGATATCATAGGATGTTTCTCTCACCTCTGTGGGTAAGGTATCGGTCCCAGTCCGATGAGTTTTGGCCAACCGATATGTCGGTAATACGTTCCCTCTAATAGAAACGACATAATTTTCTATAACGATTAATGCCCTGTTGTAAATTTCATCACTGAAATGTATTTCCATACCTGGAAATTGGAATTGGGCTTGGCGCTTAAAGTCTTCAGATAAGCTATCCCCATACTTATGCAACAGAGAGGAAGGATCACTTACTTCGCATGTTTACAATAAGACTTCAAAAGGCGAACTATGATTCTCAGGGGATTGGGACACAATTGACTCAGCCATTGTTGCCTTCCATTGGGCATCATCTTCAATATCGACTCAATCATGCTTCTCGGTAGGTCATGAAAACCAGTCTGTTTACATTTGTAAGATCCTGGAAGGATGTTAGGCCTCGAACTTCGTGAAGAAGGGGACGAAGATAAAAACATTCATGTTGGCTGGGATGTACAGTGTGCACTAGGCACTCATCAAACTTAATGCTACAGTTCTCACGTGCATCTTGACCTATCAATCTACGCATCCATTACTTGATGCCTTTCCAGACATAATAAAATGAACTTGGAAGTACAAAAGTGTGTGGGCAAATTATTATTTTAGCACAGTTTGAAGAAAGCTGTGAGTGTAGTATAATTGGGTCTGTGTTACCTGAACATCATTTGCTTCATTGAAGTAGACATGTTCACCGTTTTCCAAATGTACTGCATGTTACCATGTTACACAATAGCCGGGTGTCTTTTATGTGCTTGGAAGCCGAATATGCGTTAAAATGCCTCATTACTACTGATGAATCTGCCATTTGATACTGTGTTACCTCATCTCGGCTATTTCCCTGCTGCAAGCCATAGCCTCATCTGATCCTATTCTAGGTGGATTTCACCGAGTTCCGGAACTCAACAATAACTTGGGCATTAAATATCATAGACAGCAAGGAATAATATCCGCCGATTGTCAACCTCATGTTGTCCAACCTTTGTTGAAAAGCAACCATCACCAGGGCGTCTACACCTGTAAGAAGGGTAGCTGTCATTACCAGAGTTGTGTTTTCGTAAGAAATGTTTTGGGAAACTTCTTTGAGCATATATTGTTCTTCAGACATGGCGAGTTGAGGTTAAAGCCCACCCCCCAACATGAGGCATATATAATGTTCCTAATTGTTTAGAGCTCCTTATCTGTCGATAGATTTATAGCGAAGAAAACAGCGACTTACTTCGTCAAACCAAGCGACAGCGCGTCGCGTGTATCCTACGACGGAAAATGTGGCGAAAAAGAAAATTACTTGCCAAAAAAAAAAGGGGGGGACGTATTCTGCATGACATGCTGAAGACGGAATATTTAAATTAAAAAAACAAGTCCGTCGCAGGAGTCGCTATAAAAGTATTTTGATATGCAAAACTTGAGCGTCCCCTCCCAGCTGTTGACGAATGGAAAAAATGTTCGGCCGATTAAAGCAGTTGGTGTTCTCGAATCGGGGAGAAAAAAAATTGGGCATTTTGGCTACCGCGTTTGTTGGAGAGTGAGTTATTTTTCTAACTGGTTGCGTGCATTGTGAAATAGTACCTGCAAATCTAGTTTTCGGCATTTCTTTCTGCCCCCGAAGTTCGAGTCTGAACTTAGTGATTTATTCTCTGCGTTGTGGAAGCAATCTGCGACAAATATTTCTTTTGCAATCCCACATCGTCTAGAAGATTTCAAAACTCTGCCGAGATTATCCTGTCAATTTCATTAGAGTGATTTTTTCTTGCCGGACAAAGCAGAATGTGAGCATATGGTAGCCCTGTATTTTTGCAACTCAATTGTGTACGTCACACTTTACGGAACCAGATCTCTGGCAAGGAGGTCAGCTCTATCTTTGGCCTTTTGGTACAGAAAATAATTCCTTCCACATCGGGTTTTCTGTAAAGGTTACGAAGAGATCAGACCTAACATAATGGCATATATAGGTCATGGCATCCTGCGTCATTTCATGCATGTATCATTCAAGTAGAATGCGGAGCTGCCCAAGTTTGCCAGGTGCTTCATCATTGTTTACGGCATCTCTCAGGTGAATATAATTCTCCGGTTGCAGTTGCCTTTGATTTTTTCTAATGAAACACAACTACTCAGATTCTATTTTAGCAACCATATTAACTGCATATTGATGAAAGAGATCTCGATAATGATGAAGAAGATCGAATGAGTCGCCACGTGTAATAAAACGGTACGCATAGAATTCTTTACACATCTTTGTTTAACATATCCTCCGGATTCTTTGGATTGCGATGTCTAATACCAAAATGGTAGCCATTTTCCCCATTAACAAATATCAGAGGATACTGAAGAGCATCATAAGATCTATATGTTTCATTAATTCATTGAAGCGTGTTGTTCCGTCTCTTTAGAACAATGTCTCTCTTGTTGTGTTAGTCACCATGGAGAACCATATTACAGTTTTTTGTGTATATATATGTAACTAGTGAGCCAACCCAAATGACTTGACTCACTTTATA